TGCATCAAGACATCATATAAAAAAATAATACATTGTTCTTAAAGAAAATACTAAATAATTATATATTTTTTCTTTCTGTTTCTAAGTAGGAATATTTATTAGAAGTCTTTTAAACATTTTATCTATAATGTTAATACAGCATGTATTTGAATAATGTTTATTTAATGATTGACAGGTTCCTGGAATAAAAATGATGTTATCTGCTTTTCATGGAGTTAGCTGATTGTTTTATTTACTTTGTTATGAAATATTTGATTAAACCAGAAGATTCTATTCGCTACCTAAATAATATATAGTTGTGACATCTGAACTCTCCTTTAAATTAATTTACACCGCAGACTTCAGTTAAATAACATAAAGGTCGAACTCCCTATGATCGTAGTGAAGTTGGCCAGAGGGCGCTATTTGTCGGCGAAAAAAATAAGAATTTGAAAATTATACTTGATTACACATAAAAATATTCTAAAAGCCCTCGTTTATGTCGCTTTATTTATAATTGTTATCATGGAATAATGATAAAAATGATTGGAACTTCCTTTATTAACTTAAAACTTGTAAGCGAACAAAACGATTGATTTATGCCAAAACAATTACACAAAAGATACCTATCCCTAGGGTTTAATGTTACACTTTTTAGCAAATAAATTTTAAAAAAGAAAACAAATTGTTGATTGTTGAATTTGAAAGAGAAAACATTGCCTGAAGCAAGGTTATTCAGACAGAACAATGTCATTGACACTTTTAACAGTAACATACGAAACATTTTTGAAGTCACCAGTTTCCAAGAACAAGGCTTTTCTGTATTTTCCACAACTAGAAAAGTGTTTTTTCCACAACCTGAAAGTAGGCTCATGAAAAATGTGTTAAGAGGGTTATCTTGGAAAACGTGCCTGGTTTATTTAGACGACATAATAGTCTTGGGGGAGACTTTTGAAGATAATCTGAAGAATTTAGAAAAGGTTTTTAATTGTCTAAGTTGTACAATTGATGTTAAACCCAAAGAAGTGCCAGCTAAAGTAAAGTCAATTATCTGGGTTAGAGTCAGCAAAGGAGTGGCCGTAGATAAGGGAAACTTCGATTCCATTAAAGAATGGCCAGAGCCGACTGACAAACATCAAGTGCGAAGTTTTCTTGGGCTATGTACTTACTATCGGAGGTTCGTTAAAAAGTTTGCAGATATCCACTAAGCCATTAACGCGACTTACAGAGGACGCAAGAGATTACTGCTGGGATGGAGACTGTCAAACTCCCTTTGAAACCTTGAAGAAGCATTTAATTACAGCATCAATATTAAGGTATCCACTGCCAGAAGGAGAGTTAGTCTTAGATACAGATGAGCAGTAATAAAGAGATTGAGAGAGTGCTATCTCAAATTCAAGGAGAACAGCGACGAGTCCTTGGATATTTTAGTAAAGTGCTTTCAAAATCTGAGCGAAATTATTGCGTCACCAGAAGAAAACTTCTAGCAGTATTGAAATCAGTAGTACCAGTATCTCTATGGAAGCATAGAGACACAGAAACGCTGATTCTACTTCTAGAAGGCCGTGCCCAGCAGAGAGTTCACACTGCAGCAAAACAGAATCAAAGGAAGCAGTGGTGCTAAGAACAATGATGGTCAACGACGAGTGGACGCCTTCTAGGATTAGAGAAGAACAAGAGAAAGAGCCGGTTTTACAGAAAATTCGAAAATGGAAAGAAGAAAACCGTCGACCGCCTTGGCAAGAAATATCAAGCTTAACCTCAGTAGTTAAGACGTATTAGGCCAAGTGGGATTCCTTTATCTTGGAAAGCAGCTTGCTTAAACGAATACTGGAAAATGATGATTGTTCAAAGAAGAAAACACAGTTGGTTATTCCAAAAAGCAGGTACTTTATCAGTTACATGACAGTCCAATAGGAGGGCATTTCGGTGTAAAGAAATCCATTCAGGGAATTCGAGAACGATTTTTGGATGAATAGTTCAGACGATGTAAAGAACTGGTGTAAGAAATGTACTGCCTGTGCTATGTGTGTGTAAGAAAGACTCCTATAAGACACTACAATATTAGAAGTTCGTTTGAAAGAATAGCTTTGCGTAATGCTGGGCCAATTTCAGAAAGTGAAAATGGAGACAAGTACATGTTGGTTGTAATGGAATACTTTACGAAGTGTGTAGAGATCGATGCAATTCTAGATCAGAAGGCCACCACTATTACAGATGTGTTGATCAAAGAGTACATCAGCTGATTTGGAGTGTCTTTGGAGATCCATGGTGACCAAGGAAGAAACTTCGAAAGCGATCTATTCCAAGCAATCTGTGACATATTCGGCATGAAGAAAACAAGAACTACAGCACGCCATCCGCAATCGCATCAAATGGTAGACCGAATGAATGTGACAGTTGGCAAGTATTTGACAAAAATGGTATCCAATCACCAGCGAGATTGGGACCAGCACCTATCATTTTTTGCAATGAACATTAACAGCAATACAGATCCGCTGTTATAGAACCGACGGGTCAAACGCAGCCAAAAGTCCTGTTGGAACGCGAGATGCGACTACCTTGTGATCTAGAGTTTGGATGTTGACCTGGAGAAGATGTAGCTGGTGTCTATATGAAGTGTCTGGCTCTATAAACTAAGGAAGCGTAAGGGTTGTTCTCTCAAGTTGCAGCAGTTCTGGAAAGGTCCGTACCTTATTATGGAGAATATTAACAATGTTATCTACCAAATAAATAAGATTCCGATGGGAAAGCCGATGACAGTATACCATAATCGACTGGCGTCATTCAAAGGAGACCAAAACGTAGATGAAGATGTGGAAGTAAACCAAGTCTAAGAAGTATCTGACCTCACGTTTGAGAAATTTATGGGGGCGTAAGGAGGTACCAGTAAAGCAAGACATGGTTTTATCACTGAAGAAAAGCAAGATCTACTCGCACTTCCAGTTCACTAATGACTGGCCCATACTATCCCAGCTAGTATTAAAGACGCACAAGGGTTGGCATCTATATTTCGAAGGAAGTTTGGTCGAGTTGCAGAGCTTTAATGCCAACTACCAGTTCCCGATAAAGGTTTAAAATTCCAGGATTCATCACTTTAGCTTTTCTATCTGGTAACAAAAGAGGCTCTCATGACCAGCCTACCTACCAAGATGTATGGAAAGTATTACTTCAATTAAGAGAGCACGTACTGGAGTCCAAGGTGCAAAAGTTTGCCATGCCAAAGCTAGAGTGCTGTTAAATAAATTGGAGAGTTGTCCGAAATCAGCATAGTTACTGGTGCGGAGCGAAAACCATTCCTTGCCACTTTTATACAACTGGAAGTTCTAAAAGAGGATTCAGGTAACGATATCAGCATCCAGTTGTAGTCCCGACAAGGTTCCAGTGGAACCATCTGTTAAGGAGGTGTCAATGTAACGTTATCTGTCTGACTCACACCCCAAGTGAATATTGCCGACGTCAGCGTAACTGTAATCAAGTATTTCTAGAAGCCGTGAAACAGGTATTTGCGTAACGTCATCGAAGGTTCTACTTCCTTCTGGTACATTCATTGTCTCGAGAACAGCATGGAACTGGCCCCAAATGATATAAATACAGAAATTAGTTAGGAGGCATAGTTTGGAAGAGACCAGGGCTCGATTTGGACTATAGCGACATTGGAGAGAGAGAGAGAAAGAGGTACATATTGCATAATGTTATTCATTTCTTTCTTAAAAAAAGAATGATTGTTTTGAAAGATTTAGTTCCTTATATCCTTTTGCAAATAGATTTCTAGAATTAAGGAAGTCAAAGAGTCTATCTGGGGCTCTAATGAACTTTATAGTTACTTCAACTCCTTTAAATTTATCTAACCCTTGTACCAGTAAAAATGCAAGGGCATTTTTATACAATTATTCTATAGTACAAACCCAAAGATTAACCAATATATATTAAAAAACTGTCTTATCTAATTATGACTAAAAAATACACTCGTATAAGTAAACATGATTATTTTTCAACCAGGAGATTATCTTTCTTAGAACCACTCACACAAAATTCCATAAAATTATTACAGGAACAAGTGAAATTTCAAACAAGTCCTTATATTTTGCCCCCTTATTTGGGTACAACTACCGGACAACACGTGTACTACACTTTAAAAATCGGCTTCACTTGTTACAGTTCTACATCCAGTTTACTACTACTACATTTATAAACTAATTTACGCCATCCAATTTTGAGTTGACATTTTCAACCGAGTTGCTTCATTTTCTAAATAGAGAATAGAGGGAATTATTAAATAATATAACATCAAAATTATTATACATTCATAAATTCATATATTCTGTTATTTTTGACATTTTGTTAATTATGAATTACAATACATAATTTTTTATTCACAGGGTTTTAGATTTGTGTACATATTAACATTACATCATTATGATTCGGATTCGCTTAGCTCGGGCATATTTTGACAGATTCTAGTCGGATTGCAGACTTCTTCCATTAAAAAAAGAAGAATTATTCTAAATAGTGGAAGTGTATACTAAACCCATAAAATTTTCCCTGTATATTTAAAATATAATATTTTAGTTGTTACAATATCACATATTGTAGTAAATATTTGTATTATTCGAGTTGTTTATTTTAGTAAATATAGGTTTATTGTTTTATTATTGTTGTTTAATTCTTTGTTAGTTCTATCTAGTTGAGTTGCGCCAAATGTAGGCAACCAACTTAAATATTTGGGTAGCATTTAGCTTGAGTTTATTGAGAATATTTTCAATAAACGTTTAATATTTTCCAGCTAATTTATTATTTTTTAAAAGTGATGGTAATAATGCTGAATAAGCAATATTTCAAATGATATATCAAAACGTACTTAATATTGACAACGATGTAATTACATCGTTGGTTCCATCCTTAGAATATTACATCGTTGATTTTTAACTTATAATAGATAAATATTTTAGGTTGGTATGTGTTCTTCAATATGTCATACCATAGTGATTCATTTGTCAGCTCGTCAGCTGTCAATTTGTGTATTTGTCAATGTTAGTTTGTGATGTTTTTACACTACTTTAAGCTGCCGCACCTATTGTAGTGTTTATGATAAATTTTCTTTATTTAATTTTAATTAAACAATAATAATTACTATATAATCTCCTCACTTTATAATTAATCGCATGCTTTATTAACTTTTATCGGCTATATGGTAGTTTTCAGTTATCCCTAAGATATAAAATAATAATTATCAGTTATGGCTGGAAATGAGAGAGTGTCTCTAAATGATGCGTTATCAAATGTGGAAGTCTTGGATGAACTTCCTTTGCCAGATGAACAACCTTGCATCGAAGCACAACCATGTTCTGTAGTGTATCAGGCAAACTTTGATACCAATTTTGAAGATAGAAATGGGTTTGTTACTGGTATAGCTAAGTACATAGAAGAAGCTACTGTACATGCAAGCTTGGTAATTATACATTTTACATGAATGTAATTTTAAGTTAATATATCATTTTTCAGAATGAATTATTAGATGAAGGGCAAGAACATGCTGTCATGTTATATACTTGGCGTTGCTGCTCTAGAGCTATACCACAGCCCAAATCAAATGAACAACCAAATAGAGTTGAGATATATGAAAAGACTGTAGAGGTTTTAGCACCTGAAGTCAATAAATTGTTAAATTTTATGTATTTTCAGGTAAATATTTTCTAGATGATTCATGTATGTAGCTATACTTTGTTTATACACTGGATAATGGATTCTGATATGAATAATAGCAGGAGTATTCTGTTCCAAAGTATTCTTATTGGAAAAGTATATTGTTTTACTATTATTCAGTGTTTATTATAATTAAAATCCTTTTTGAATACATGCTTGCCATATTCTCAATAATTCCATATAAGATCAAAAAATCAAACTTCCATTTACACTACAGAGCTCATCGCAATTCTTCAAGCATTGAGATAAATTAATACCTATCGCAAGAGGAATTAACAGGTAGCAGAAGTTTGATAGATACAATAAAACAAATTAAATTATCAAGTTAATTACAAAAAAGGTAAACACATTTCTTTGGTTTGGATTAATGTTCATGTAATTGTCAGAAGTGAAACAATGCTATTACAATAGAGGAAACAAGAGAATAACTATTAATGCCAGTCACTTATTTATGACCATGGTTTAAAAAAACAAAGGGAGCTAAAATGCAGCGTTTTAGAAATAGAGGCTGGCATGTAGTCCTGATTCTAACTCTATATGCATTATCATTCTCAGCGTATTCTACTGATTATGGTGCAGCCTCAATTGCATAGTTCTTCATTTCTACCCATGATTGTCTAGTATTTGCTTTTCTATACCATGTTGTACTGGCTTGTTTCCTTATGTTATAGTCCCATCTTAAATTTGGTTGTCTTCTTGGTTTATTGATGCCTTTTGGATACCACAGTGTAATTTTAGTGCACCATCTATTGTCAATTCTTTTGCTAAATGTTCTGACCACTACACTTTTAAAGATTTAATTCTGTGTATTACATCAGTAATCTTTTCACCACAATGGCAGTGAAACTGGTTTAATTTGTGAAGTTATACAGTAGGTTTCAATAAATGTGAATTGGTTCTACCTAGATACCAAGAAATTTGAAGTGTGATTTTGTACAGCATATTGAAAGTAGGTTAAATTTTTAATATGTTCTTAGACGAAAAACTTGCAGAGTCTATTATTCAAGCACCTTTTTTTTCAAATGTTATGACATACACAATGTGTTCCAAATTAAAGCAGGACCTGCATTTTTGTGACGAATGAATGTTTCGATACAATGACTTACCAGAGTCCAGATAGGTTGTACAAGATCTGGGATATTTATGAGTATCTAAATGCTAAGTATAAATCCTTGCATGACTTAGAGAGAGATGTAATGAGAGCTTACTCTTTTACAAAGGCAGACATAGTTGGGTACGGTACTTTTAAACAAAGGAGCATGTTTTGGCATAAATAATTACACTGTGTGTGAATGATACTACAGATACATTTGCAAAATATAATTTACATGGGAAAAGACATGAAATTTTATGAACAATATAAAGATCTGTCCGTTTCATTATGTTTTACCACTAACAACTTATATACTTCACTGGTGTTTACTATAGACTTCATCTAACGATGAAAGACTTTGGGAATATTTGAGTGTAAAATACTCCGCAAAATATTTGGAGCTGTAAACGACTAATGGCAGTGGAGCAGAAGATATAATTTTGAATTGTATCAGCTCTTTGATGAGCCAGATATCATAACGTTCATTAAAACACAGCGACTTAGATGGGCTGGACACATAATACGAATGCCAGAAAATGCGATTGCTAAAAAGCTAACCACAGGAACACCTGTAGGAAAAAGAAGCAAAGGCCGACCGCGAATTAGGTGGTTAGATGGGGTGGAAACCAACTTACGAATATTAAAAATCAGAAGATGGCAACATGTTGCCAAAAACCGAACAGAATGGCGACGAATCTTAGAGCAAGCCAAGATCCACAGAGGATTGTCGAGCCAAAGATGATGATGATGTTTACTATTTTATTAGCAGCTTGATCATATGCATATGGTAGGTTCTATAAGAACACAAAGGAAAGATGTCCTATTACAAATAAAGAAAAGCTTAAGAAAAATGAACTTATGGCATTTTAGAGGGGGAAACAGTAATGGTAAAGTGGAAGGGTAAACAGTAGGTTTGCATTCTGTCGACAGTGCATAATGCGGAAAAGTGAGGAAAGAATATAATTAAACCTAAGATTGTTGAAGACTGTAGCAGTATTATGGGTGGTGTTGGCTAACATCTTCCTGATTACCCTAGAACCAGGAAGCGTGGCAAGCAATATTTCAAAAATATATTTTTGCAACTTCTCGAACACACTGGGTGGAATGTATTCGCACTATGTGTGTGTGTGTAGTAAGGAGAAAGATAAATATGGAAAGAGGGTTAGGTGTGAGTCAAAATATTACTGTCCTGATTACAGTGTGGGATTTTGAGTGGTGCCATGTTTCAAGAATTATCAATGCATTGATTAGCGATCAGTGTAGTAGTGTCTGGGGGCTCGGGAGACTGAGACCTCGGAAGCTCTGAAGAAGACATCAGATAGGATTTCGAAAGCTCAGTGCAGTGATGATCTATATGGTTCAATCCAAAAGCCTCTTTAGTTTATTATTAATTCTTGTAATAGTATTAATCTTAGCTTTAGGTTATACTCCAGTTACAAACTTAATTTATGTTTTAGAGAAAAGCCATTGAAAGATTCTCCCAAGAAGTAAAAAGACTGTGTCATACTGAAAAAAGAAAAGATTTTGTATCAGAAGCATATTTACTAACTTTGGGGAAATTTATCAATATGTTTGCAGTACTAGATGAACTAAAAAATATGAAATCAAGTGTGAAGAATGACTACTCAACATACAGAAGGTAATAATAATATTTATATTATTTGTTAGTGTTAAATAAATAAATTACAAATGGTGTTTTATTGAGTGAAAATATGATGCAATATGAAACAATAGATAAGTCTCATCTTCTTCTTGATGTGCTTATCCGTTATGAATGTTGGCGATCATCATGGCAATCTTATCTGCAGCAGCGCGGAAAAGCTGCACAATGTTGTATTGAACCAGATTCTGAGGTTCTTTAACCAAGATGTTCTTGTTCTTCCTGGACCTCGCTTTCCAGATATTTTTCCTTTCAGAATGGGTTGAAGGAGAGCATATCTGAGAACAAAGCCTCTCTAGTACCAACAGCATTTGTGAACCCGAACTGGTTGGGAGAATTTGACTTTCACACAGCTTATAGATTCTCTTATGAATTATCTTTAGGAACAATTATAGGAGATGACTCATGAGGCTTATAGTACAGTAATCTTCGCATTTTTTGGCTCCTGGTTTTTTTTGGAAATGCAATAAACTCAGATTTCAGCCATTCTGTTGGTATTTCTTTGGAGTTGTATATGTTGTTAAATATCTTTGCAATTTGCTATTGATTCATTGTTCATTAGTTTGAGTAGTTCTGCTTGTATATTATTAGGGTCTGCCGTTTTACCATCCTTTAACTGTGTTATTGTGGAATAAACTTCCGGCTGTAATATTCTTGTTCCATCATTTACCTCTTCTTCTAGCTCAAAGGTGTTATCTCTTTGGTCTTTAAATAGTTTTTCTAAATATTCTTTCCACATTCTTATCTGTCCAAGATTGTTTCCGTCAGAATTAGTTATATTTCCTTTCTGTCTTCGTCTTAGTCTCCCTGTGAGTTCTTTAACTTTCCTATGTACATTGTGACTATCATACTTTGACTGCAGAGTCTCAATTTCTTCGCATTTTTCCTTTGCTTCCTTTTCTTTCGCTTCTCTGATTTAGTTTCTCATGTATTACAGTTATCTCAAGTCTCATGCATTACAGTTATTTTTATTGCCTCAAAGTCAAAACAGAGTCAAACTTCTTTCCAATATTACATATCAGGGAGGCAGCAACTAGTGTCTGAAGACTGAATCAGACACAAAAAGTGAATCCAGATGAAAGTTCAATTAAACCAACTGACACCTTGGTTTACTAATTATTTTCCAATATGCTTACTTTGTAAAATTTTATATATTATATTTTGTTCCAATGTAAATGGTATATCCGTTAATAAATAAATTAATTAATAAACCTGATGTATAACTGTGTATTAACAAATTATTATATTTCACAGATAATAACCTCATGTACATTTATTTTAGAGCTGCCCAGTTTTTGAAAGTAATGTCAGATTCACAAACACTCCAAGAGTCTCAAAATCTTTCCATGTTCTTAGCAACTCAAAATAAAATTCGTGATACAGTTAAAGAAAATTTAGAAAAAATTACGGGATATGAAGAACTGCTTGCAGATGTTGTCAATATTTGTGTTCATATGTTTGAAACCAAGATGTATTTAACACCCAGCGAAAAGCACATGTTAGTTAAAGTAATGGGCTTTGGATTGTTTTTAATGGACAGTGAGCTCTGTAATATCAATAAACTGGATACTAAGAAAAAGTTAAGACTAGATAAAATTGATCGTATATTTAAAGTAAGTGTATGAACTACTTATTAATTTTTAAGTTTTCCACTACTTTCCATAATAAACATATACCTCTGATATCTTTCCCTATTTATTTATTTAACATATGGATTTTAACAGTACGATTCTATCAATTACTTAATTAGTTAACAAAGAACATTGATTTAAGGAATTTATGTGTGGCAACAACGCATTATTCCCCTGACCAGTTGTAAAATTTTAAGCAATGCCTTCCTTCACAGTGCGAAGCGCCAAGATACATCCGGCTAGCCGGCATTAAGTAATTAACAGACACTGACGAGAAGTATGTAGTTCTTTGCATAAAATGATTTCGTCGCCAACTTTCCGTCGGTAAACCATATGAAAAACTCGAACACCTATATTCGAGTTTTTAATGCAATTCTTTAAGACTTTTAGCTGAGACACAGAATAAATAACCATCAGAATGCCCACTCTCAGATGCCGCCTTTGAACTTTGTCAGCCCGCAATCGTCATATTTTAAATGGAAGCATAGACTCGAATTGAGAAATTTGTGACAAGCTACGACAGAATTGTAATTTAAATTTTTAGAGATTATTTCTTTCTTCTCCCCTTCCTTTTACCCTATCAGGGTGTCGGATTTGGGCTAGCTATTTTAATTTCCATTTACCTACCTCTTCCATTCTTTTCTGTTTCCTGCCATTATTTTCAATTCCTCCAGTGATTTTCGTTTAAGTTTTCCGGCCTTTACTACTTGATGTATCCATTTTTTTCTTGGCCTGCCTCTTTTTCTTTTTCCGGTGTTTTTTACTTCATAAACTTTTCGTGTTATTCTATTGAATTGCATCCTCATCAGATGCCCATACCAGTTCATTTGTCTCTTTGCTATTTTGTTCATTATCGGTTCCTGGTTGGCCATTCTCCTAATAGTCTCGTTGCTTAGTCTATCCCATTTTGTCTTTCCAACTATCCTTCTTAGATGTCTCATCTCCATTGCGTTTATCCTGCTCTTATGTTTTTCCAGAATTATCCAGTTTTCACTTGCATAGAGCACAGTCGGTGTCACTATTGTGTTATATATTTTTATTCCTGTTTCTTGTGAAAGTTCTCTTTTTCCCATTATTGGGGCTAACGCATAGTATAACTTGTTTGATTTCTTTGCTCTATTTGTTATGTCCCAGTCTATTTTTCCGTCATTAGTTCCCAGGTATTCGTAAGTTGTTACTATTTCCAATTCTGAGTTTTTACATTTAATCTTTATTTGATTTTCTTCCTTATCTCCTTTGCCGCTGATTATCATTATCTTACCTTTTTCCTCGTTTATCTTCTTCTATTTGTTCTACCCATATATCCCTTAGTTTCTTCATTTTATTCTCGGAATCTGCTATTAGTACTATGTCGTCTGCATACATTAAGGACTCTATTGTTACCGGTTGTAATCTGTGGTAACCTATTATTGTCTGTAGTTGATTGGTTCTGACTCTAGTGTTTCTTATCAATTCGTTTATTACTATTATGAATAGCAAAGGGCTGGGGCTATCTCCTTGTTTAATACCTCTCTTCCAATTAACTGCTTCCGATCTTTCCCCTGTTATTTGTACCCTTTTACCTCTTTGTAAGTACTTTCTATAATTTTTATCAATGCATTAGGTATATTTATTTTCATCAAGCATTTCCCTATAATATGTGTCAAATGCTGCTCTTAGGTCTATGAATGATAATACTAGTTTTTCCCCCGTATCTATGCTTCTTTCTATTAAGTTTCTAATGATATATATGTTGTCATTTTTCTGTCTTCCCGTTCTAAATGCCGTTTGTTCTTCTCCCAATACCATTTCTACTTCTTGTCTCAGTCTCTTCTCTATTATTTTCGTATATATTTTAAAGCATACCGATGACAGACATATTGCTCTATATTTGTCGCAGTTTACATGTTCTCCTTTTTTGTATATTGGCACGATGATATTGTTCTGTCAGTCTTTAGGGATTGTTTGTTTTTCCCATGCCTCTTTATATATTTTCCATAGCCAGTTTATTCTTCTCCCATGTATTTTACCATTTCCGGTTCAATTTCATCATCTTCACCTGCCTTGCCTATTTTTATATTTGATAATCCTTCCATTACTTCTTCTCTACTTATTTGCTCTAGCTCTGCGTTTTCTTCGACTTCATTGATTATATTGTCTTCCTTTATCACTTCGGTATCCAATTTTTTCTCATAATATTCTTTCCATGCCTTAGCTACTTGTTCTGGGCTTATTTGTATTTGCTTTGAAGTATCTCTTACTGCGTTTATTTCCTTTCGTCCTCATTGCCTTATGTGTCGTATTGTCGTCCAAAAGTTTCTATTATTTGTTATATATTCTTCCTGAAGTTCTTCTCCAAATTCTTTCCATGTTTTTGCTTTTGCTTGTGTGACTGTCTTTTTTACCAATCGTCTCTGCCTATAGTATTTTCTTTATCTTCTTCTAACCCCTTTTCTATGTATTTTTTCCATGCTATTTTCTTCTTTTTTATTTTTGTCTTCACTTCTTTATTCCACCATCTTGTCCTTTTCAATTGTTTATTATATTTTTTGATTCCACACACTTCAGTTGCTGTTGTCTTTAATAGTTCACTATAAGTATTCCATCTTTCTTCCATTGTCCATGTTTCTTTTTGGCACTCTATTTGTCTTAGTCTTTTGTTAGTTTCCTCCGTGTAAAATTCTCACACACTTTCTATCTTTAGTTTGTTTACCTTTACTTTCTTGTACTCTTTTCTTTCCACTTCCTCTATTTTTTCATCCTCCAGTTTTGCATTGAGCATCCTGTGTTGTGTAGACAGTTCCGGTTCCTTTTCCGTTAAGATGGTTTTTATATTTTGTTCTAGGTTTCTCGTATAGACTATATAGTGTATTAAGCTTTTCGCATTTCTCTCTTCAGCCACAAATGTATATTTGTCGTTAATGGTTTGTTCACTGAATGTGTTTCCTATTATCAGGTCATTGGTTTGGCAGAATTCCAGCATTTCAATTCCATTTCTATTTAATGTTTCTTCCCCATATTGTCCAATGCATCCTAATCCCCTGTTAATGTCCTTACCTACTCTTGAATTCCAATCGCCTAAGATTATTATTTTTTCTCTTGTTTCTCTTAATTTGTCTAATGCGTTTTGGATTTCGTTGTAGAATTCTATGATTATCTCTTCTTCATTACCTTTTGTTGGTCCGTATATTTGTATTATTCCTATCTTGTCTTTTAGTTCTATTTGGGCTGTGATTATTCTCGATGATACTGCTTCGTAGTTTGTTATTTTTGATTCTATTCTTTTATTCACTGTTATACCGACTCCTTCTTTTGCTCTGTGACCCTGTGGTACTCCGCAATAATATAGACTATATTTCTCATTGATGTTGATGTGTCCTTTCCCTATCTTTTTTGTCTTGCTTATTCCCATTATTTGTACCTTCATTTTTTCCATTTCTTCCGTAGCTTCTATTTCCTTACCGGTCAGAGATGTCACATTCCATGTCGCTATTCCTATATGATTTGTCTTGTATTGATGTATTTCCTTATTACTATATTCTTCTCCATTATTGGTGTTATCGTTGATTTCATGCTCCGTGGTTTTTGTATTAACATTATATCCGTTATTTATTTTATTGCCGTTTTTATTTTTAATACTAATATTTAATTTTTCCCTACCTTCATTACTAATGCTATGCCCATTATTGATATTCCCCCCAACTATAATATTACCACTACTAATAGTATGAATAATATCCATATTCCTATCACAAGTCATATTTGTAATGTGATATTCATCATTTACATTTCTAATCCTATTCCTATTACTACCTAAAACTAAACATTTATCATCATTGTCCGGTTTATTTAGTAATTCTTCTTTCTCTATTCGTTTAGAGATTATTTAAATTTTTAGAGATTAATAATTTAGTACATTTGAAATAATTTAATCTATTCTTCAACTCAAAGTACGAATAAAATAGTGCATATCATGTCTATAGTTGCCGTAAATAAATTAAACCGGGTTAATTTTTCTATGCTCACCAGATAAAATGTCACTGAACAGCACTGGTTCCATTTAAAACATGGATGATTCCGTCTGCGCGAACGAGACGCGTGTACGTATTTTTTCAAGTAGAGTGGGCATTCTGATTGTTTATTATTTTGTGGCTGAGGTAGCTTGGAAATAAAACAATAATTAACCTAACATTAACAAAGCATAAATATTATTTTTATAAGAAAAACACCAACTAAAAAAGTTACTCTAAATAATTAAATTAAAATTAAAAGCATTTAAAAACAGAAATCTCTAACCAATTAAATGTTCGAACAAACCACCATTTTGCGCTAAACAAAATCCAAAATCAAAGTCTCATTGCATTCAGCTGATTTGGCTGTACCCGGCTACAGAGTTGAACAATTTTTTCTTGCAATTCTGATAAATTGGTGGCTCGTTCGAATTCATGCCAATATAATTTTGATTTTAGCATTCCCCAGAAATAAAAATCCAAAGGTGCTAAATCTGGTGATCTAGGCGGGCCATTTAATTGTTCCTCGTGTAGAAATTAATTGTCCAGGGAATGTTTGTTCCAAATAATTTGTAACTTCAATTGCATTATGTGCCGGGCAACCATCCTGTTGAAAACAGACATCATCGAAGTTGACCGCAAGGTTTCGAATCGCTGGAATAATCCAATTGCGTAATAAATCTAGATACTTAATACTTTTCTTTCGAAACATCCTAACATGTTTTCATTATTTTTTGTTAGAGTCCAGGTCTCTAAACCATAGGTTAGAACTGGGCGTTTTTTTATTTCTCGACATAATTGTGGATTTAAGGAGGAGATTGAGCCCAAAATGTTGGCCGTACAAATTCTGCAGTTTATCTCTGCGGTAGTATTATTTTCAGTGTTAAGGAGCGCTCCCAGGTATACAAATTCGTTCACTGCTTCGATGACACCGTTTTCTATAACAAGTGGTCGTAGGATTTGTGGTTGCGTGCTTATTTTCATATACTTCGT